TGAGATTCAAGGCCTGCATCTCAAAACCCCTGGATGGACTCCTGGGTGTCTCTCTGGGGCCCAAAAGCATCACGGCCATGAGCTGTGCAAAGCACAGGGAATGCTCCGGCCAGGGACGGCGTCCTAGGCCCGGCTCCCATGCTGGCCACTCCTCCCAGCCAGAATGGCATGAGATGGACCCGCCGTTGCTCCCACAGCCCTGAACTATCTTTGGTGGGCCAGAGCCTGCACCCAAGGAGAGGATCTGCACAGACCCAGGGGCCAGGAGGCCACTCAGGCTGGAAGCACCAGGGGGGGCTGGGGCACCAGGCCGCACCGTGGACAGAACGGACACCTGAGGACACCTGCTCCCTGCACCACGCTGGGGTCAGGCCTGCATCCTGGCTCCTCCAGCCACCTCTACACACCCACCTGATTTAAAATTTAAACCCCTGTGTAGGCTGGAGGCGAGGGGAAGACAGAGCAGCCGTTGGAGAAACTGCGAGCAACTGGCTAGAAAAGGCAAGATTTAGGTAAGGACAAGGTGTCTCTGTGGTCCCAGGGGAGAGACAGAGAGACAGAGCCAGGGAGACAGAGAGGGGGCGAGTGAGCTGAAAATAGCATTAGGAAATCAGAGGCCACTTGAGCTTTCTGTGTCTCTGAAAGCTCCCATCAACATATTTGTAAAATGCCTCAAAGTGTCAATGCTTCATTAAACTACATTACACTTAGTAAATTCTTGATTTTAAAAGCATATTCTTGCTTTTTATTGATTTGTTTTAAATGGTTATTAGATTTCGTAAAAAAAAGAACCGCTTACCAATATTAACTGCTAATGAAAATGATTTAAATAAAATGCTTCAACTCCATGGCACGTGGGGAGGGAAGAATTCTCTGAAGGCGCGCGAGCGCCCGCTTGCTCTGCCAGCGGTGGGTTGTTTCCAGACATCCTGAAGGCAGATCTGAAGGCTGAAACCCGTCTGCCTGGCGCTTCCTCTGGAGATGTGACGCGGTACACATGACCCCACATTTTGAGGCTCATCTCAAGGCCAGGGCCGAGAGTGGGCTTCCTCTTTTCACGAAAGTGGGTCGTGGGCTTCCTGTGCACCCTCGACCTGAACAACCAGGGAGCCCGCCCAGCGCCACTCTCAGGCCTGGCCGCCCACTCTCTGTCGCCGCCTGAGGGGCCTCCAGGCTCTCGGGAGCTCCTGTTTCTTTCCATCCACCTTTCAGCTCTGCAGTTGCCCAAACAACTCTCCCTGAGGGTGAGTCCTCCAAAGAGGGCAGAACAGCTGTGCTGGGCAGGCTGCGAGGAGGAACGACCGGACTTGAAGGTCAGGTTGTCAGGGTTGATCTGCTTTTTTTTTTTTGCTGGGAAAGATATTCACTCTAAGCTAACATCTGTTGCCAATCTTCTTTTTTTTTTTTCTCCCTAAAGCCCCACTGCATGGTTGTATGTTCTAGTTCTAAGTCCTTCTAGTTCTCCCGTGTGAGCCATTGCCACAGCATGGCAACTGACAGACGGGTAGTATGGTTCTGCGCCCGGGAATCAAACTCAGGCCGCCAAAGCTGAGTGCCCCGAACTTTAACTGCTAGCCCATCAGGGCTGGCTCAGAGTTGATCTGCTTTTAACAATGAATTTATCTGCATAAATGTGTGAAGCTGGCTGTGGTATGGAATCAACTGCCCACAAATCCCTCACATTTTAGGTATATAATCCATTCTTTTTAAAGTCTTAAAGGTCTATGAGTTCCAGCTGTGGCAAGTTTCAGCCCAACATAACCCTGAAGGCAAAGAGAAAAGGAAACATCACAGGATGATCACTTTTTGAGAAAAAGCTAAAATTCACTTTATTCTTTATTTCTAAGACTTTCATAATTAAGATTTCTACCCATCGTTACTTCTTTGCCATCTTGTGTCTCTCTACAAGTCACCTGCAGCTTGCCTGCTGTCTCCACTCCTTTCCTGGTGCTTCCCATTCACACCGAACTGTGGAATGTCTGCCTGATCTGAACGTCCACGCAGTGGAGGGAAACACCCAGAAAGAGCCAAGAGCCTCCTGAACACCTTGCAGACTCAGATCCAAACTGCTAGTCCATCTCACAACTCTAAAAACGTGTTCTAAGTAACACAATTCTACTTGTTAGAATAAGTATGATTTATAATTTTCATAAGCCCTACTAAATCAGAGAATAGATTCATGGATGTACACGCACGGTGGCAGGACACTCGTGGGGATAAGGTTATTTTGGACAGTAGGACGAAGTCTTGCTGTCCCCTCACGAGCAGGTGCCCTTCTTCATCTCCCACCCCCACCCCACCACACTGTAGGCTTTCAAAGGCAAGTGCCCTCAAAATAGCTCGTCTTTCCAGCATCTGGACATAGCATCTGACACAGCCTGATTTTGTGAATGAGAGAGTGAACCGACGTACGACAAAACCTGTGACTCTAACTCTCCACCTCCAGCTTAGCTCTTTCCAACCCATCTTTTTCACGTTGCCACAAGTCCTTCTAAAACTCAACTCTCATAAAAACCTCTCCAAGTGCATAATCAAGCCTAGGTCCCTCTGGGCATCAACGGCTCCAGCATCAGGCCTCAGGCCCCTTTCTGGACACCCCACTTCCACTCCTGCGGTTGCTGCATGTGCAATCCTGCTCGTCCTCCAGATCAGAGCACATGCTCTTTTCTTTGTTCGACAGTTACATCTAAACACCTCCTCTTACCCACTAAGCTGGGCATGCCTTTTCCTCCCATCTGCGTCCTCCAGAACAAGCTTTGGCTGGGCAGGACCATGGTGCATTCACTTCGGACCCCAGCAAGCACAGGCCCTAACAAGGTCAGGTCAGTAAATGCGGCCACAGCACGTGGGCCCCACCCTCCTCCCGCTCTCCTGAGGCCACTCCCGCCTTCCTTCCGGCTCCCCAGGGCCTCCTGTGATCAGATATTCTGCCTCCTCCACAAACGTGGAGGGGGAGGGATACGGGTCTCCCTTTCTCATGTTTCTGGGCCACATTTCAGGATGGCTGAGTTTCCCAGGTCTGTTCATTATCCTCAAGTTACTTGAATTTTGTTCCCCGCCTTCCTTTTGCAGAGGCTCTGAAGTTGTCACTTCAAGGATAACAACTGACAGTTTTGTTGCCAATGATGAAATGCAAGATTTCAAGCAAAGATTAGAGTTTGGAACACTTGCATGAACCACCGCAGCTTGAGGGCTTCCTGACCCTGGAGGTCTCTGAGGAGACCAGTGGAGATAGCAACAAATGAGACTTTTTGATGTCGTATAAGGAACTGTGTCAACATTAAGAAGATGTGGGGTTGGCCTGGTGGCACAGCAGTTAAGTTCACACGTACCACTTCTCGGCGGCCCAGTGTACAGCGGTTCGGATTCCGGGTGTGGACACGGCACCGCTTGGCAAAAGCCATGCTGTGGTAGGTGTCCCATGTATAAAGTGGAGGAAGATGGGCATGGATGTTAGCTCAGGGCCAGGCTTCCTCAGCAAAAAGAGGAGTAGTGGCAGTAGTTAGCTCAGGGCTAATCTTCCTCAAAAACAAACAAAAAACCAAAAAAACATGAGAAGATGTGCATAACTCAGTGACCCAATATTTTCCGAATGACCAAAGGACGTTACAAAATGGGGGACAGGATATAAATTCATTTAAAATGCAAGACAGACCAATGGATTATAACGTACCAGTGGGCAGAAAGGGGAACGAGGCTCCAGATTCCACACCACAGTCAGCCTGCAGGGAACTTGCCCGTGCTGAGCGTTGAGGCGGTTTCCTGGAAGGAGGTCCACAGACCCAGTGGAGGCCGCTAAGGCCTCCTCCCCTCTCAGGTACAGGTCTGCAGGGCTGGGTATCCTTCTCACTTTAAACAAACATGTGGCCACAGATGAATGGAGAAGCATGTATGAGGATCCAAGTGTCTTCATAAAACCAGACACTGAATAGATTTGCAAAAGTGTAGAACAATGCTGCTCTTCTGTTTCTTTGTTTTTTGAAAATATAGGGGCTTTCTGCATAAAAAAATGTTAACATGTAGCTGTTATTTTTAAATAAATATGTATTTAAAATTTTTCTCATTTTTAATTTTCAATACAGTAACCTGGACTCCTCATTAAGTTTTAAGTGTGAAGGGGTCTAAGAACAGAAAGAATGAGAAATGCTCCCAAAAGGATCATCTGGATTGGCTCAGAGCCATGTTTTCTACGATGGTCTCATTTCTATCTTCATACACTTAGTATAGTCCACAACCTGGGAGGTTTCTTGTGTAATGATCCACTGCTTCTTTGTGAAAAAAAAATCCCTGTTTCCAGCATATCAAGAAAGTGGTTTTTATGCCATTTATGCACACAAGCTCAGAGATTTAGTTCAACAACCAGAGCATTCTAACGTGCTGTGAGCATTTTTGTGAGGAACCAATGGCTGGACCTCACTACACACCAGCTTCCAGCCTCGGAAAGGCCAAATTCTTAGGAGGAACTATGCTAAAAACCAGAGTATCAGAAAAGATCCAAGGAAGAGGATTTCTGAGGGGGTGCAAAAAGGAGTAAGACTCTGGAAAACCTTCTCCAAATGAAATGAATTCTGTAGGACATATGGAGTATGCTGAGAAATTATCCTTCAGCCACTAAATACCATCTCCTCAGGACTGGCCTCTTCCGAGGCCACCTCCACCGTTGTTAGAGAACTTCCCCTTCCCCCAGCACATGCGGCCTGTCCCCACACAGCCATCTGGGACACCAGGACAGAGCAGCCGTATTTCAGGAGCTCAGGCTGTTTTAACATCTCTTCACACTCGACCGGCTTTTCTCTCAATTTCGATGGTAAGTTAAGGGCTGTGGCTTTAAGCATCTGATTCAAAAGACAGATTGGTGGCTTAATTCAGTAGAATTTTTCTGTATCTTAAGAGCTACAGTGATCAAGAAAAAGGAGAGTATGTCTCATGCCATTTTACACAAGCTTACAAACCAGATGCAAACACAAAAGGATCGACGGGCTGAATGAACCGAGGAAACAGACCTTGGACAGTGTTTTACTCTTGGTACTACACTCGTCTCATACAAAATGGGAGAAAAGACTGTGAAACAGCCAGCAAGAAAATCCACAGTCATCCAATCTTCCTGGAAGAGATGCCTTTCCCGGATTACTCTACGCAGCTTTATTGAAAACTATTAAAATTCAGTCGCTCCTACTGGGGACGCTCCACTGGAAGATTAAGGACGTTTGGGCCCAAAGGCAGAACTCTGATGGATGGGCAGTTAGCTCTCTCATGCCCTTTAAGGTCACCGTGGCCAGATCATCCTCATCCCCTAGTTTGATCTCCTGGCAAAGTAAGACCCAGAGCCAGAAGCCTGAAGGATGGCTGGGAAGACACCAGCATCACTTGAGTTTGGCCATCGGCACCCGCAAGGGATCACCCACGTCTCTGATCATGGGGTTTCTCTGACTCAGTTTCTCCAGGTGGAAGAGGCTTTCTGAGGAAACCACAGAAAAGTGAAGACCAATCTGTGTTTGAAAGCCTGCTGCTTCTCCTCTTTTTCATTCAGAAGGCTTGCCAAAGAGAGAAGGTAAAGTTAACTTCCCGTTTTTATCTGACATCTAGTAGAGCTGGAAACATGAGAGAAGTCATTGTTGTACAGCGGCTGGTTTTCACCATTCAGTTTCTCCTTCAGAACCATAAACAGCTTGCAAACCAAGGGCTGTTTCCGCAGGAGGTGAGGGCTGCAATGCTCAGCCCTACAGTGGGACGTGCGCCTGGCTGTGAGGCTGCCTGGGCCACCTGCAGCAGCAGGTGAATGGAATCAGCCACGGGAGCAGTGAGGGTCCAGCGTCAGGCCTCAGCCATCACCAGAGACTGTGAAAGGGATCTGTATGAAAAACTTCTCTAGCAACTTAGGGCCTTCCTGTGCACTTGGCTCCACACGAGGCAAGAAAAGGAACTGAAACGTCTGCCAGTTCTTGGCTGGTCTCATCACTGTTTGACTAAATCTCATGGTCGGTTTTGTAAAGCGAGCCTCTGTCCTTGGGCTCTTCTTAACGCTTTACCAAGAGCCCCCAGAACATGTGGGAGAAGTAGCCAGAAAGAAAAGGCACACGTCAGTTCTTGCTAAAGCGACAGGGATGGGTCATGCCCTGTGGCGTTCAACTTGGAATCAAACAAGAGGAGACAATAAACACCAGGGCCCCAAGGGGTGCTGCACGTCCAAGAGGGTGAATGCAGCACCTGGTGGGCAGGCCAGGGTGCCCCCGCTCCCAGAGTTGCGCTTCCCAAGGGCACAGCGTTGAGGGTCCCTCTTTCTGCTGAGGGACAGCAGTTCAGTGGTCTGACAACATCACGGTCAGTGTGGCCATGAGCTTCTTCCCAAAGCCAACAGTTCACACAGGTGAGGAATCTTGGCTCAGGCACACAGTGAGAACAGCACTGAAGATCCGGCTCCTTCTGTGATGTGGAAATAAAGGAGCACAAACCACACACTGCGTGTCATCAGCTGACATCTCCACACCGCATAAGGAAAGATGGACCCACCACACACACAGCATACGCTCTTTTCTCCTTGTGTATAATTCTTTTTCTTTTTTGTAACAGTCAGGAAATGCTGGTGCCGACTCAGTTATTTTTCTTCTTAAGTTGTGGCAGGAGGCTGAAAGAGTCTGAAACGCTAAACAAAAAGTTCAAAAGATGGGAAAAAAACGAACACATCCAATCCTTTGGGAGCTGACACCTGAAGAATAAAACCTGATTTATTAAATCCAAGTAATCAGTACTTTAAAAATTTGCACTTCATCGAGATATAAGAACTGCCACTGGGGATCATTGCTTTCTTTTCTTTATTTTCAACTACACAACACACAAAGTCACTCTTTTTACAAGACTTCAGACAGCACAGATAAGGCAGAAGCCCCTCCTGGCATCTACTGTCCTCAGAAGATGCTGGACGCGTGGGTTAGCAGCACAGTGGGGGAGCACCAGGCGTCACCACTGGCCAGGGCCACACCAGATGCTCTGTTAGCTCAATGAAGGGGCGCACGGCCCAGGAGTCCCACAGAGTACTGAGGGGCAAGAGGGACAGGACAGATCCGATCGCACCACTGCCTCCCAGAGACGGGCCCAGGGCCAGCACCCCGGCAGAGTGCACCCCAGCCTCCCTGTCTTGATACCACCCTCACACCTGGCTGCCCTCAACACCTCTGCTCTGCACCCGTGGTGCCGTGGCCATGCCCTCTGTCCCTTCTGTGGGCACTGGCACTGCAGCTCCCTAGAAGAAGGTTCCAACTGGCTACTGTCTCGTATGAAACCTTCCTGAGCATGGCCAATGGCAGCCGGCCTTGTAGGCTGCTGGCCAGCCCCCTAAGAGTTGTTGGGGATTGTGATAATATGCTATATGTTTTATAATTTTGTTTTCATTACATTTGTATGATGTCTTTGATTGAAAGTTGTATTCAGAAAGCTCTAAGCATAAGGAATCTAATGCATGTTTGCACATAGTTAAATAACACAAATAACAATAACAAATCGCCATGGGAACCAACAATTTTTTTCCTTTCAAGGGTGTACACATGACTTACATCTGAGAAACCCTGACTGAAGCAAATCCCCATCGACTTGAAGATGATGACACTGGGGCCACAGAGCAGGTGGCAGGCGCAGAGCCAGGACAAGGACCTGTGCCACAAGGGCCCACAGGTAAGCTTGAGGACTTTGCCTGTCACCTGAGAAGCCTGGGTCAGATTCCCAAGGTTTTTCTAGCTCCAGAACTTTTACGGTAGGTTCAGATGGAAAACAGAAGCAAGAAGTCAGTCACATGTTCTCGTTAGTAAGAGCAGACTATAGTTTATATTTGGTAATAAGCCACAAATGAGTACCACAGATCACCATCACAACACAAAGGGAGTGCCGGCAAACCCACTCAGCCGTCTGACAGCTGCAGCGCGGCCTGGTGCGATGGCTCTGCCCAGCGTGTGGAGGGCCTTGCGTCCCTCTCCTAGAGGAGCTGCCAGGCCGCACTTCGTCACTACTGCTGCCTGGTTCTTGCATGTGTTTCCTTTAAATAAGGAAGGCCTGGCTAACTTCCTAGGAGCAAAATAGTAACCACAAACCCGTCATTTCCACTTACCAATGGAAAACTCCTGAACTCCTGACAAAGCGGCATTTTTAACGAATTTAAACAAGGAACTGAAACCTAAGAGCTGTAATATGAGAAACACCAGTCATGTGCAAACTCTTACAAGGATCCTTGACGTCAGAGGCCTGGGCCAACCACTGAGAATATACCTTGCTGTGAAACCGTATTTTTAACTCAAGTTTGAAGACTGCAAGGACAGCTGTTAGAAGACACTCCCTGTCGGTTGGGCTGCGCGGGCATGCAGGTTTCTCTCCAAGTTCGTCCAACAAATCAGGAGGAGCCATGATGATGCACCCACCTCTTGGCCTCTCTCTGGAGAGAGATGTTCAAGAGTCCACGTGGCTACCTCACAGAATAGGCGACAGAGAAGCCCCTGCCGACCACAGGAGGATTTCTGTACAAGTTACTGAGTTCTTTGTTTCTTTATTCTTTTCCTAAAATATATTCCCCAAGAACAGCCATATATGTACAAACATTCAAATTAAAGATGATCCTTGTATTTAGGGTGAAGCCATGTGATGCTTCTAGGCAACAGCAGGCTGCTTTTTCATGAGTGTCTTCAGTTCTGCTTCATCTCCTTGGTTTCTAGAAGTGTCGACATTTCTAGAACTGCTGCATGTACACAGCGGAAAGCAGTTTAAAACACCCACCAAAGTCCAGCTGGCATCATTCAACACATCTGTACTGAGGGCCGTGAAGTGTGAAATACAGCGTGTTTTACTCTGTCTCGAGTGCAGATAAGCAGGATGTATTGACTTTATGTTTAGTGTCCAGGTTTTACTGAAGACAATTCTTCCTCTGGCTGTGAAGGCTTCTTTCCTACTCGAGCAGCAGGCATCAGTTGGACCACCTAGAACACAAGTGACCGTGAGTCTCCCTGCCAACCGCCCCGCTGAGCAGTCCAGGAAAGCAGAGAACCAGCGCCTCCTGTTCTTCCTGCTGGGGAGAAGTTCCTTAGCAGGAGGGATTAGGGTGTCAGGGGTGGACTGCCAAAGTGAGGGGGCATCTGTTGCTGGAGCCCCCTTTCTGAAGGAAGCAGGCAAACATGAGGGGTATGTGTGTGTGTGTGTGTGTGTGTGTGTGTGCAGCAGCTGACTGTACATCCAAGAAAAGACTGCAAGATGTGTCGGGAGAAAGTTCTAGTTGATACATCCTGCCCAATTCTACAAGAGGAGGGTCTCCCCGCCCTTCAGGCGCTCACTGACTGAATGGGGCATTGTGCCATCACTACTCATCTCCTAACTGCTAAAACCAAAGGTCACACTTTCAGCCATGGTTACCTGACCTGATGCCACCTACCAAGTGCTTATTACATGCTGATGCACGGTGACCCTCAGAGCTCGGCACTGTCCACATTTTGTGGATCATTCTTACCTCAATGGCACTGAAGTTGCTGACTCCTCTCCTTCTGAAATGCTCCCCCTATCACTAGGACTCTCAATTACCCGCCTTCTCCTGATGCCCTGAGTGGCCCTGCTTAGACTCTCCCTTTTCCAGGGGTCTGCAGGTGCTGGCACCCCACAGGTTTGCTGAGTGACACCAGTCCCGGCCATGACTCTCCAGGGTATGTTCCTGACTCCTCTGACAACAGAAGCTCCCACTGCTTTGGATGCAACAGAGCTCACTGTGTGTGTGTTTCCACGGTGCAAAATGCTGCATGTATATATGTACACTCTCTCATTCAGTTTCACCCTCACTGAGAAGGAGAGGAGCAGAGAGTTTGGTGCGCTGCCCCAGGCCATGCCTTAGGTGGGCGGCGGAGCAAACTGGTTTTCCTCCTGGCTCCGAAGCCAACCACCACTGCACGGCACCTCATCACGATACACCCTGTTCTTGCTTTTCTCTTCTCCCTTATATTTCCCACCCATATTCACATCGGAAACCGAGGGCCACTCCAAGGCACTTCTACGCTGCCTCCCCTCACCCCTAGTACTAGATGGTCACTTGGGGCTCCTTCAGATTTTCTTAAATATCATCCCCTCTGTGTCTCCAGGAAGGGACCGAGGACTCTGCTGTAAGGAGACGACCAACCCGAGGTATCAGAGCAAAGGGTTCCAGTGTCAGGACGTCCCCCAGGACCACGGCTGAGAGGACTGGTCCAGTACAGGCTTCCAATCACCTTTAGTGCCTGACTCTTCAACACAAGTGGGCACTCAAGAATTACCAGCCATCTGAGAAAAGAAATCTAAAATAAAAACAAAGACCCAAACAAACAAACACACAGAAAAATGAAACTTGGAAGAACAGTCTAGGAAAGAAGGAAAAAAAGCAAAATAAAACAAAACTACTGGTGTAATTAATTTCCTCATCGCAAGAGAACATGCTACAATCATGAAATGAAGAGCATGCTATAAAAAAGAAACATTCTGAGCTCTCAGAATTTAAAAACAGCAAAATTAAAGAATTAAAGAAAAGATGGAAGAGAAAATTGAGGAAATCTCCCACAAAGTAGAGCAAAAAGACAAAAAGATATTAGGAGAGAAAATACAAGACAATGACAGGACAAGAATATAGAGTCTAACCTGTGAGATGAATAACAGAGAGCACAAAATGCAAGGAAAAGTCACCAAAGAAACAATTTGAAAAGTTTTCCAGATCTGAAAAACAGGAATCAGCTCTGTGTCGTGTCACTATGCAGACAGCGCCCTGGAGATGTGCAGGCCGTGGGCGTGGGCACTGTTGAGTATGATGCTAGCTACGGGCTTGTCAAACATGGCCTTTTTTTATGTTGAGGTACATTCCTTCTATCCTTACTTTGTTGAGAGTTTTTATCATGAAAGGATGTTAAACTTTGGAAATACATAAAAAAATATTAACATAACTGAAGAGAGAAATAGATAGCAATATAAAAATAGTAGGGGACTTCAATACCCCACTTACAACAATGGGTAGATAATCCAGACAAAAAATCAATAAAGAAACACTGAACTTGAATTATACTTTAGACCAGAGGGAAATAACAGACATATACAGAACATTCCATCCAGTAGCAGCTGAACATACCTTCTTCTCAAATGTATACAGAATATTCACCAGGATAGATCATATGTTAGGTTGCAAAACAAGTCTTAAAAATTTAGGAAGATTGAATTTATATCAAGTATATTTTATGATCACAAAGGTATGAAACCAGAAGTCAGTAAGAGGAGAAAAGTTGGGAAATTCAAAAATCGGTGGAAATTAAACAACGAGCTCTTAAACAACCAATGGGTCAAGGAAGAAATCCAAAAGTATCTTGAGACAAAGAAAAATGGAAGCACAACATACAAAACCCATGGGATGCAGCAAAAGTAGTGTCAAGTGGGAACTTTATAGCAATAAATGCCTATGTAAAGAAAAAAGAAAGATCTCAAATGAACAACCTAATTTTACACCTCAAGGAACTAGAAAAAGAACACACAAAGGCCAAAGATAGCAGAAGGAAGAAAATAAGAAAGATTAGAGAAGAAACAAATGAAATAGAGACGAGAAAGACAACAAAAAAGATCAATGTGGGGGCTGGCTTGGTGGTGCAGTGGTTAGTTTGCATATTCTACTTCGGTGGCCCAGAAGACCAGAGGTAACATATAATAACATCAAGAGTACAAAAAATTCACTGTACTGGTTCTTCAAACATAATAAAGATTCTATTAACTGAATGGTTTACTTAAGCTTGCTAGTGGAAAATAAATATTTTATTAACAAGTTAGAAATTAGATATTAAGAAGGGGAAAACAATTTTTACCGAGGTCTACTCTTTTAGTCTAAGGGATGAGAAGTTTATTTCAAAGTTACACAAATAAGCAGCAAAGAAATAAAACTTCCAGCAGTGGCAGTGGTCTCAAATTAGCAGAAATGAAAGGAATAGAATGTTAATATTTAGACAGGAAACATTCATAAGTGAAATGAAAAAAAATCAGTTTCCAAAGCTGGGAAATAAGGTTGTCAGTCCTACGAGACTTGCACAAAAAGCGATCAGACATGAAAATATCCTTAAGAAGAAACTGCAGGAAGTGCTGTGGACATTTCAAACAGAAGAAATGCAAACGTATTAAAATATCTAGAGACTGTATTCTTTCTTTGGTAAATACTAGATGGGATTCTAAGGCAAGACACAGCCTGGAGCTACGCATACTTGAGCTGTTAGTCAGGGTCATCCATCAAGTGCAAATACACAAACTGGACAGTGGACATGTTTAGGGCTTATTTTCTTTTTAAAGACAGCCACAGCTGGAATGACACGTCTTCTGGCGAACATGAGTGAGCATTTCCAGGAGTGCCAGAATCTCCAGAGTCACTGAATGTGGCCAGAAGTAAACCTGGGAGTCACACAGCTCTCCAGACTCAGGGGAGACAGCTGCTGATGAGGGGTCTATCTTCTATCCCCTCATCTAGATTTCTTTCCATACCAATAACCCCAAAGGTTGAACTCAGTACAATTTTGGGCTTAAAGTTTCAATTCTTAAATTATCTGAAAACTTTCATGAAAAGGATTACTCTGAACTTGAATTCATTTAAAATGTTTCTGAAGAAAAAGAGCCCTTTAGTGCTCACAGATGAAGAGCAACAAATGTACCACTCGGAAGCAACATCATAAATTAGGCTTCCTGACCCTCAGTTATTGCCTTCTCCCTACACATCCTCCTGTCTGATGCCTGGTGTCGCCTGTTGAGAACCCAGGCCTGTCTTCACATGCACTGCTGTAAAAACCTCGGAGCTGGAGCCTGGCCAAAATAAAATGAAAAGGATGGCCCACCGAATGGACCCAGAAGTCACACACTGTGCCATGACTCCAGGCAGGACCCCGCATGCGGAGTTAACTCTCCCACCAGGAAGGCAAGGAAAAGTTGTTACCTCTTTCTGCACAAACTTTTCTGAAGACCAAGAGAAGATATAGCTGGAAACTTTAGTTTTGGTTAGAATTTATAATGAGAAAACTATTCCTGGAATACACAGCTGCTAGACATCATGCCTTCAAAGACACAATGATCTGGGAAACTCCTCACAATCTAGGGTTAAGTCAAAAAAAGCAGGATTTAGTAAGATTCGGAATCATTAGGAAAAAATCAACCACACTTCGTATACAGAGGTGATAAGATTGGAAAGATGGTAAGAATGATTGTTTGGGACCACACCTCTGAAAATAAGCCAACAAACGCGTTTTTATATGATATGAGGGAGAAGTCACTGAAAAGGATTTTCCCTTTTATGTAAAGCCAGGCCTAGAGCCCACAGCCCATCTCCTTACACAAGGGACTGGGCAGTGCTGTTCTAAATATTTCACTCTGAAGGAGGGCGCTACCAAGGGTTTTAAGTCCTGACTTTGCATCTTTTTCTCTCCACACTTTTTCTGTAGGAAGCAAACTAATCTTGAAACCAAGCTAACAGCTCCATGTCAGCAGGATTTAACATCTGAATTCTTTTAAAGTTTGGCCCTTGATCTGAAAGATTTATGTCGTAAAGACAGATGTTTTACTTCAATCTTTGATAAAACAGAGTTATTCTGAAGATGGAGTGGTGGACTTACCCAGAAGACGATGAGCATCTTCTCCACTGGTCAGGCTCACGTGGTCTACTTCCTGCACCAAATAGACATTGAAACCAAACCTGAGAATTAAATTTCTCTAAAATTCCAACCAAGCCCACACGTCTGTGTATAAAACAGTGTGCCGAGTTGTACTTGGAGGACAGAGCTTTATTTTCCTTTCAGTTGTGGCCACCTGTCATTAAAATTTTGTTCCATAATTATTCCATTAAAGTAGGAAGCAATTAATTAAGAGGTAGGACTTAGTGGAAGGAAGCAGTGTCAAAACTGCTCCTCTTGACTCCAGTTCCAGCCATCTGCATTCTATCTAGACAGTCCCTGCTGCCAACAACGTTTGGAAATGGAACTTCACATGCAGATGGCGCACGGGGGACATTTTGCCAAGTAGGGAAAAAAGCAACGTGAGGCTCTTTCCACAGCTGAGCCCAGAGCGTCCCTTTCCCAGCCACGGTGCAGCTGGCACTTTCTGCTGTCCGCCAGACAGGGAGCAATCCTGCAAGTAAAAAAGGTCGTCGTTCCTCACATCTAAAGAATAACACTTTTCCGACAAAATTATCCTTGCTTCTGCTTGACTGATGATGCTGTGGGCAGTCCGTCTCTCACACCTCTCCCAGAAGTGTGAGGCTCAGGGGCCCTGGCAGAGGCTGGGGGTCACAGCAACGGCCAGAATGAGGTTTCCAGGCCCCACCCTTGTTATCACAGATGACCAGAGGCAGTTTTAGCACAGCAGGGCCTCCTGCAGAATTACTCCAGGGAAACGAAAATCTGAAGAAATCACAGGCAAGTTTGTAGCTGCTGACTGTGGAATTTAACACATCATTTCTCACCAACAGCAAGGAAGAGGTTAAAATGTTCTCACCTCAGTGGCCATCCATCATTTTAAAAGTTCTGAAAGCTTTGATGCTCACCACCTCAGGAGGCGAGGTTCACACCTCAGCGGGGCCAGGGCCCTGGTTCACACAGCATGGGGAGAGAGGCCCTCCATTCCGGCATCCACGGCTCCCAGCCTGGCCCAGACAGAGGCTCACCTCTCAGCCAGGGCAGCCCCTGAGAGACTTCCCAACTCTTGGGCAGTAACTCAATCTTCTCATTCTGAGGCATTTTTAGTTTTTCACTAACACAAAGAATTTTGCCTGTTAACTCTGTCCTGGAAATAGTGACAACTTTCTACTTAGACTACTTTAATGTCTTCAAAACATGCTAAAATAGGAGTTTGAAGGTAGATACAATCCAGCAAAAACCATGCCGGCCAAGGGAAGAGGACACAATTCAGTCATGGTAATTAGAACAGAAAAAGTGGACAGCTGACCTAAAAAATATGTCTTAGTCCTAATAAAAAGATTTTATGTGTGTGTGTGTTTGTATACAAACATCTATTTTATACAGAAACATCTGAAATTAGAAAACATATTTGCACTGCCAAGAGCATCCTTGTGAACATTTCTCCACGTAGGGCAAAATGCAGTGACACATACTGTCCTCACTCATCTGTTATCTTCTGGGCCTTCTAATCTCTTCCACCCCTGATCCTAAATTCTGAAATCTGACACAACTCGGCACAGACACCTCAATTTTGCCTTAACCTGAGGTATCCCAGAGGTAACGTTTCAGCCTCAAACACAAGCATTACCATCCTGTGACCTTTGTGTCACTGTATGGTCCTACTCCACAGAGCAGGGATTTCCTTCAGAGACCCACTTACAAACGAGGGCGTAGCTTTCCAGCAGTTTCCACGCTCTAGCTATTGAGACTACTGTGGTTTTCTTGCTTCTACGTGACCCGAACTAAGAGATAAAACATGGTTCTCTAGGCCTGGCACCCAGTCTGACAAACATTCCTTAGGGTTCCAAATATTTCCTGAAATTCAAGGTGGTTGTGTGGGTAATGAGAAGGGGAGGCCCTACACCCAGAGGGAGAGAGTTTCTGTGTGGAGTTCATATCAGGCTGACCTGAGAGTCGTTCTTGGACTGTGCGCATCCTGGAGCCACAGGAGAGACCTGTTTCCCTCAGTAAGAATGGAAAGGAGGCAGAACAACAGATGTCTGACCGCTCTCCTTGCTGCACATTCACTGGAGGGACGGGATCAGCTATCCTGCACCTGCACAGTCAGTGCTGCTTACAAGGGACGCCACAGGCCCTAAGTGCCTGTCCTTCTGTGGCACTGGCTGTCCCCAGGTGTCTCTGCAACAGCCAGCTGTCACTGCCTCTCTCTGGGTCGCAAGAACTACAGATTAATTTTGGTTATCTGGAGTTTTGTCTATACGTGTGAATGGAATCCTAAAACATATGTCAGAAATGAGGGGGCCAGCCCAGTGGTGCAGCAGTTAAGCGGGCATCTCGGCGGCCTGGGTTTCGCCGGTTCAGATCCCGGGTGCGGACATGGCACCGCTTGGCAAAAGCTATGCTGCGGTAGGTGTCCCACATAAAAGTAGAGGAAGATGGGCATGGATGTTAGCTCAGGGCCAGTCTTCCTCAGCAAAAAGAGGAGGATTGGCAGCAGTTAGCTCAGGGCTAATCTTCCTCTGAGATGTGCACTAACATAGTTACAGATGGACACACTGAATTCAGAGAGAATGCTGGCACGTTGCGGGGAGCTTGCCGTAACATCCTGCCTGTGGGCAGCCAGGTTCCATCAAGCCTACCGTGGCCCGCGGTCAGCTCAGATCACTCAACACCTAACAGACGTGTCAGCAGTCTGTCAATCTAGTCTTCACTCACTGAGTCACTGATTTGCTGAGTCCACGAGGATTTAGTTCCTATGACATGCACACGATGTTTGGTAGCGGGATCCTGCCTGAGAATAAACAGGGAATTGAACAGTGGGGTGTACGATGGGGACACACAGGCCCAGAGCTCAAGGAGAACCAAGTCCTGGAAAGAGAGAGGTCATTTGTAGTACGGGGGGGGGGGGGGGGGGAGGGTCACCCCACAGTGCAGAGAGGAGAGGGATCACCCCACAGCACGGGGAGGAAAGGGGTCACCCCACAGCACGGGGAGGAAAGGGGTCACCCCACAGCATGGGGAGGAAAGGGGTCACCCCACAGTGCAGGGACAAGGGGGCACCCAGGTAGGGCGACGAGCACACTCAGGGGCCTCTATGCTGCTTGGTGCTGTGCTTGAACTGAGCTGGACGGCAGGACTCAGGAAATCAGAAGGATGTTCACCAAACATGCACTGAGCTTGTTGCACTACAGATGGTGTTGATTCTTTACTACACAGTGTGATTTTTTCCGACAACTAGTGTCTACTATTGTTAGAAGCAGAAAGGAGTCAGAAAGACACAAGTCAGCTAGAAAGTGCTTCTTGTTCCCACAGCAGCTCAGACCCATCTTATCAGCCCAAGTCACTGGCAAAGCCTGGCCTCAGGTTCCTGTGGGGGCACCTCCATCCCTCCCTCTGCCCCAGATCCAGCCACTTCCTAGGCCCACACCCTGCAGACCAAACAAGGGCCCCAACCCCTCCGGCCCCCTCGCCCTCTTGGCCAGCCTGGTCCTCAGAGCCTCTTGCTCTCCAGAGTCACCAGGTGCTTGCCTGCCCTCGTTCCAGTCCCAGTGGGACAGCACTGCCACCAGGCTCTCACCAGCCCTTCAATGTCCAGTTCTCATCTTGCTGCATCTGACCTGCTTAGCCCCAAACCTGTATTCATCCACTGCTTTCTCTTCACCTACACCAATCATCAAGAGCATCCCACTTGCAGATCTCTCAGCCTGACTTCCACCTGCCGTGAGGACCAGTCACACACACACAGGACACGTGAAAACGTGAAGACAGGTGGCACCCTTGCTGCTGCAAGGCCCGCAGTGACTTGGCTGTGACAGGCCCCAGTTTGCAACCCGAGGGGTCTGTTGTAGTGTCACGCAGGATCTCGAGAGTAAGACTTCTCCTCCCTGGAGGGAACTAGGGCTGGGGATGAATATCTACTCTTTTGCCCTAAGAAAAGTTATGAGAAGGAGAAATTTCCAGACACAAATACTTCCTTCCAACAGAATAGGAAGAAACTTAATTCTTTGTTTACTATAGATCCAAGGGAAATAGGTTCTGCTCCAACTAAAACGTGTTCCTGTAATCTTTGCCATCACATGAAAGTAAAGAATAAGCCAACATTCATGACATTTCTTCCTGGGCACTGGCCTGCACGCAGAAAAAGCTTTCACCAGAGTGGTGGCGACGCTGTGGGGGAGGACCTGGTGTTGAAGCTGATGGCTCCTTGTGGGGTGGGCAACTGAGGACCGAAATTACTCAGGCCAACCTACACATCAGGCTGTGGTTTGTTTGCTTGCTTTTCTAATTTTATTTCTAAAAAACAGCTTTACTGAGGGATAACTGACATTGTTTGCTTTTAAACAGAAAAAACTCTAATAAAACAGTTCAGCTTTTAAATATTAAGAGAGACATAAGAATTAATGCCAGGAAAGTAACACTGAAAATGCTCTGGAACAAGATTTAGGAAACGACAATGAGAAGCTCCACTCAACACTAAGGACATGAATACTTCCTCTCCAGTCCTCACAACTGCCCTGCAGGACAGCTGTGCACCTATGTCAGACATCAGGAGACACGCCTGGAGGCTCCGCCATTTGCAAAAGGGAGGTCCTTGAAGTGCTGGATCCAGGATTTGAGACCACATCTGCCTGCCAGAACCCACTGTAGTGGGCTACCTCTGGAAAAAAATGAAATAAGTAAAGAAAGCCTAGAACGCTTACTATTGTAAGAGGCTTCAAATTCAAGGACCAAACTGGTCGTGCTCCATCTGGCTTGGGCAAGATCAAGCATGATGTTGATGCTATGTCTGTAAGTGGCATGCTCTCCCTCTCTTACTCTTAAGTGTTACTATTCTGCCATGGAAAAGCAGAATCCAAGAACCATAGACTCAGAGCCAGGATACTGAGGGCTCCCCAGGCCGGATGTCCGAACAAGGCCAAGCAGCAAAGGTAAGGGAGCTCAGGGGACACAGCCCATCAGCGGATGGCCTGGAAGCGTAAATGCATGCGTGTGGGCCATCTGCTCCACACAGGCACATGTGAGAACCACATG